CCCCATCCCCAAAACCCCAAAACCCCAAAACCCCATTACCAAAAGACTAAATTGAAACAAGTTTCCCCTTCTAAATTCAACTTCCAGATATCATATTCCAGTTATCCAAAAACCCAAGACAACTCTTAGCAGTTCTATACTTAAAAAAATTATTTAATTCCAATCTACTCTTCAATTAGCATTAATATTTTCCTGATTATCTTTCCTTATATTCTCCTTACTAAACCCTCTATTCTGAACCATCTTAGGTCCTCAAAGTGTCTTCTTAAGCTCTTTCAAATTAATAGTCATCCTATACTGTCCATTTGGAAGTCTGTGTAATGACTTATTAGCTACATAGTTGTGAGCAGGCACTGTATCTGTTCTTAGCTTCTCAGATATCTTCCCAGGGTTACAAAACGTACTGTTTTGATCGACTCTTGAAACATTAAAATACTTTGCATTCCTCATATTCTTACTGTAACTCTGTCTATTTTGGCGCCTTTCCGCAAATGAAGATGCCTCTTTGATGTATTTGGACATTCTAGCCTCATTTTGAACAATTTTAGGCCGATATTTAGCTTTTGAGCCAAAATTATGCATATAAGGAGGATTTTTCAGCCGCTTGAAGTTGAAGTTCTGATCAACTTGGTCAAATTTAAGCATTGGTATCGTCAAGTTTTGCTGAGGATTGCCACTTTTGTGGAAACTGTAATATTTCTGATACTTCTGAGTCTGATTTTGCTTTTCCATATTACTAACAGAGGTATATTCAGAAATAGATCTTTTAAGCTCCTTTTTAATTTCTTTCTTATTCTTTTCTGTCTGGCTATAGCTTCTGTGGTTATTCTCCTTGTTAAGGGTTGCTTTTTCCATTCTTCCAAGTTGATTTTTGACATTACTAATTTGGTCGGTAAGATTTCAAATATAGATCTCAAGAGCCTTTATTTTATCACAATCACTAATTTTATTCTTAATCTTGTTCATTTCTTTGTTTAAGGCATGTATTTTCTTGGTTTTAGCATTCTTCCATTTTGCTGTAAAATCACATGATTTTGATTTTTTGTGGTCTCCTCTTGAAGAAGCTCTAGTAAGTCTGTAATCTAAATATTAACATATTTACAGGATAGCTTATAAGTAAAATTTAAAATAATACAGATTCGCTAAATATATTCATATTGCATAGATATTTCGAGAGTTTATGATAAATAAAAACTTATGTATGAAAAACCAGTATTCTCAGAATCCTAAATAATGGTGATCAAGATGTTGATCAATTTCAAAATTGATTTACCATCTCACAAGAAGTTCCTTCCATCTTTTAATTCTTTCACACCCTCCTTGTTTTGTACACAAGATTCCTCCAGGCTTTCTTCCATTCTTATATCCTTCCCAATGCTTGATTCTTTCATAACATTATGGCGTTTTCTGATGATTTCTATGGTATTTTTGATCTGGGACATGAGGTTTTGGAGTTGTTCTTTTGGAGTTTTGCAAGAAAATTTAAGATCGATTAGTTCTTTCTTTTTAGATTCTAGGTCGTTTATCAAAAAATTCATTTTGTTTTGGAATTTATTTGATAATTTGAACCTTACAACATTGCTTTTCTTCGTCTCTTTCATATGTCAAAAGGGCAGGATCCCCAAGCTTTCAATTGTTATGTTCAAATTTGTGTTCATCCTCAAATCCATGTCATTTATTTAAACTATCTTGAAATTCAATTCTAGCTGAATAAAGGCGTCAAAATTCATCGTCCTTACTATCTGGACTCAAATACTGCCGTGGGAATTGTTTAAGTGTCTCTACAATTCTTCTGGTTCCTTCACTCCTATTGGGACTGCCAGAAAATAAGAAATTTATCCTTTCCTTTGGTGTTTTACAGGTTGTGTTGATAATATCATTTGCTAATACATTAATATCAATATCTTTCTTTCTCGCGGAAGCCATTTTATTTAAAAATTTCAAAAATTTAAATAATAACTGGGGTTTTGGGGTTTTGGGGTTTTGGGGTTTTGGGG